TCAGACTGAAGGTGACCCGCTTCTCTTCTGCTTGAAGTTTAATCAGGAGGATTCACATCGAGCGAGTGGGAGGAGGAGGAGGTGGTGACGCTTCTATCTTCTAATTGGCCCTCGACCCCACACACACACGAGCATCTCTACGCTCTTTGTTGACATGTGATTGTTTGTGCTGCTCAGGAAGTGTTGATAAACAGTGCAGGCAAAAATAGTCAGAGTGTAGTCTACCACTTCCACATCCTGGTTCTTCAGATCCTGAGACGCCTCCCCTCCTCCTGCCATGAGGGCGTATGAAAACAGGACCCGTCTGCCTGAAGCTCTCTGAAATGTTCAGGAGTTCATGTTTAGTAATGTTCAGGAGGTCATGTTCAGGAGGTCATGTTTGGAAACATTCAGGAGGTCATGTTTGGAAACATTCAGGAGGTCATGTTCAGGAGGTCATGTTTGGAAACATTCAGGAGGTCATGTTTGGAAACATTCAGGAGGTCATGTTCAGGAGGTCATGTTTGGAAACATTCAGGAGGTCATGTTCAGGAGGTCATGTTTGGAAACATTCAGGAGGTCATGTTTGGAAACATTCAGGAGGTCATGTTTGGAAATGTTCAGGAGGTCATGTTTGGAAATGTTCAGGAGGTCATGTTAGGACATGTTCAGGAGGTCATGTTAGGACATGTTCAGGAGGTCATGTTTGGAAATGTTCAGGAGGTCATGTTCAGGAGGTCATGTTAGGAAATGTTCAGGAGGTCATGTTAGGAAATGTTCAGGAGGTCATGTTTAGAAATGTTCAGGAGGTCATGTTAGGAAATGTTCAGGAGGTCATGTTTAGAAATGTTCAGGAGGTCATGTTAGGAAATGTTCAGGAGGTCATGTTAGGAAATGTTCAGGAGGTCATGTTTAGAAATGTTCAGGAGGTCATGTCAGGAAATGTTCAGGAGGTCATGTCAGGAAATGTTCAGGAGGTCATGTTTGGAAATGTTCAGGAGGTCATGTTCAGGAGGTCATGTTTAGAAATGTTCAGGAGGTCATGTTAGGAAATGTTCAGGAGGTCATGTTCAGGAGGTCATGTTAGGAAATGTTCAGGAGGTCATGTTAGGAAATGTTCAGGAGGTCATGTCAGGAAATGTTCAGGAGGTCATGTCAGGAAATGTTCAGGAGGTCATGTTTGGAAATGTTCAGGAGGTCATGTCAGGAAATGTTCAGGAGGTCATGTCAGGAAATGTTCAGGAGGTCATGTTTGGAAATGTTCAGGAGGTCATGTTCAGGAGGTCATGTTTAGAAATGTTCAGGAGGTCATGTTAGGAAATGTTCAGGAGGTCATGTTAGGACATGTTCAGGAGGTCATGTTTGGAAATGTTCAGGAGGTCATGTTTGGAAATGTTCAGGAGGTCATGTTTGGAAATGTTCAGGAGGTCATGTTAGGACATGTTCAGGAGGTCATGTTTGGAAATGTTCAGGAGGTCATGTTAGGAAATGTTCAGGAGGTCATGTTAGGAAATGTTCAGGAGGTCATGTTTGGAAATGTTCAGGAGGTCATGTTTGGAAATGTTCAGGAGGTCATGTCAGGAAATGTTCAGGAGGTCATGTTTGGAAATGTTCAGGAGGTCATGTTTGGAAATGTTCAGGAGGTCATGTTTGGAAATGTTCAGGAGGTCATGTTAGGACATGTTCAGGAGGTCATGTTTGGAAATGTTCAGGAGGTCATGTTTGGAAATGTTCAGGAGGTCATGTCAGGAAATGTTCAGGAGGTCATGTCAGGAAATGTTCAGGAGGTCATGTTTGGAAATGTTCAGGAGGTCATGTCAGGAAATGTTCAGGAGGTCATGTCAGGAAATGTTCAGGAGGTCATGTTTGGAAATGTTCAGGAGGTCATGTTCAGGAGGTCATGTTTAGAAATGTTCAGGAGGTCATGTTAGGAAATGTTCAGGAGGTCATGTTAGGACATGTTCAGGAGGTCATGTTTGGAAATGTTCAGGAGGTCATGTTTGGAAATGTTCAGGAGGTCATGTTTGGAAATGTTCAGGAGGTCATGTTAGGACATGTTCAGGAGGTCATGTTTGGAAATGTTCAGGAGGTCATGTTAGGAAATGTTCAGGAGGTCATGTTTGGAAATGTTCAGGAGGTCATGTTAGGAAATGTTCAGGAGGTCATGTTAGGAAATGTTCAGGAGGTCATGTTTGGAAATGTTCAGGAGGTCATGTCAGGAAATGTTCAGGAGGTCATGTCAGGAAATGTTCAGGAGGTCATGTCAGGAAATGTTCAGGAGGTCATGTTTGGAAATGTTCAGGAGGTCATGTCAGGAAATGTTCAGGAGGTCATGTCAGGAAATGTTCAGGAGGTCATGTTTGGAAATGTTCAGGAGGTCATGTTCAGGAGGTCATGTTTAGAAATGTTCAGGAGGTCATGTTAGGAAATGTTCAGGAGGTCATGTTAGGAAATGTTCAGGAGGTCATGTTTGGAAATGTTCAGGAGGTCATGTTTGGAAATGTTCAGGAGGTCATGTTTGGAAATGTTCAGGAGGTCATGTTTGGAAATGTTCAGGAGGTCATGTTTGGAAATGTTCAGGAGGTCATGTCAGGAAATGTTCAGGAGGTCATGTTTGGAAATGTTCAGGAGGTCATGTTTGGAAATGTTCAGGAGGTCATGTTTGGAAATGTTCAGGAGGTCATGTTAGGACATGTTCAGGAGGTCATGTTTGGAAATGTTCAGGAGGTCATGTTAGGAAATGTTCAGGAGGTCATGTTAGGAAATGTTCAGGAGGTCATGTTTGGAAATGTTCAGGAGGTCATGTCAGGAAATGTTCAGGAGGTCATGTTTGGAAATGTTCAGGAGGTCATGTTTGGAAATGTTCAGGAGGTCATGTTTGGAAATGTTCAGGAGGTCATGTTTAGAAATGTTCAGGAGGTCATGTTAGGAAATGTTCAGGAGGTCATGTTTAGAAATGTTCAGGAGGTCATGTTAGGAAATGTTCAGGAGGTCATGTTAGGAAATGTTCAGGAGGTCATGTTTAGAAATGTTCAGGAGGTCATGTTTAGAAATGTTCAGGAGGTCATGTTTGGAAATGAACTGAGTGTTTCTCCTCCACAGTGGACGAGTACATCGCCATCGCCAAAGAGAAACACGGATACAACGTGGAGCAGGTGGGTGTCTGTCTTCATCTTTTAGCTCCTCGTTTTCTCGGATGTATTTGTACGTTGGCAAGGGAACCCGTTAATTACTGTCGGAATCAGATGTGTCTGTGAAGCTCCTCCCTTCCAGAATATTTCAGTCATGAATGTTTTTTGAGTACGTTTAATTTTTTCAACTTTTAATGTGGATTTTGGAGCGACAGTGTGCTAGCTCAGCTAACAGGCTGCTAACTAGCTAACAGGCTATTTCCTTCGATTCAGTCGCTGATGTTGAGATTAAGAACATGTTTTTTTGCTCATGGTGAATCTGATAAATATTATTCTTCATCATCTTTATTAGTTAGACATGAAACAGTCACATGAAACTGTGTGTGTGTGTGTGTGTGTGTGTGTGTGTGTGTGTGTGTGTGTGTGTGTGTGTGTGTGTGTGTGTGTGTGTGTGTGTGTGTGTGTGTGTGTGTGTGTGTGGTGTGTGTGTGTGTGTGTGTGTGTGTGTGTGTGTGTGCTCTCTCTCAGGCTCTGGGGATGCTCTTCTGGCACAAACACAACATCGAGAAGTCTCTGGCCGACCTGCCGAACTTCACGCCGTTTCCTGATGAGTGGACGGTGGAGGACAGAGTTTTGTTCGAGCAGGCGTTCAGCTTCCACGGGAAGAGCTTCCACCGCATCCAGCAGATGGTAACCTCCGTCACACACGGTCTACCTGGACCCGTCACACACGGTCTACAATGCTCTACTTTCTTTTCCTTCAGTTACCTGATAAATCCATCTCCAGTCTGGTGAAGTATTACTACTCCTGGAAGAAGACCCGATCCAGAACCAGTCTGATGGACCGGCAGGCCCGCAAGCTGGCCAACAGGTCCAACCAGGACGACAGGTAGGCTCCAGCTGTCAGGGGTCAGGGGTCAGAGTGCCTCACTTCAAAGTGAGACTCATCAGGCTGTAGTTCACTGGTTTGAACAGCAGGGGGTGCTGAAGCTCTGAGAGTGTCAGAGTGAGCCGGCTCGGAGGGCTGACGGGAGAAAAGACTCACAACATTCACCCCACTTAAAAAGACTCTGGGTTTATGGACTCGGTATCCCACAATGCACACAGGAAGTTGACGATTGTGAAAGAGAAAAATGCTGCTTGTTGTTTATTGTTTATTGTTTATTGTTTGTTGTTTATTGTTTTTTGTGTATTTGTTCTTTGTTTTATTGTTTGTTGTTTATTGTTTTTTGTTTATTTTTGTTGTTTATTGTTTGGTGTTTATTGTTTATTGTTTTTTGTGTATTTGTTCTTTGTTTTATTGTTTGTTGTTTATTGTTTTTTGTTTATTTTTGTTGTTTATTGTTTGGTGTTTATTGTTTATTGTTTTTTGTGTATTTGTTCTTTGTTTTATTGTTTGGTGTTTATTGTTTGTTGGTTATTGTTTGGTGTTTGTTTTTTGTTGTTTATTGTTTGTTGTTTATTGTTTGTTGTTTGTTTTGTTGTTGTTTGTTGTTTATTGTTTGTTGTTTGTTGTTTGTTGTTTGTTGTTTATTGGTTGTTGTTTGCTTTTATTGTTTGTTGTTTGGATGAAGTGAACGGCTGAATTTTGTCTTGTTGTTGCCGTAGCGACGAGGAGATGGAGGAGGCCAATCCCATCGAGGCCAACGACAGCGACTACGACCCAAACAAGGAAACCAAGAAAGAGGTGGGTTAGCAACAGTTACAACGACAACAACTCACCTGAGAGCTGGTCACACGAGGTTTCTGTTTGGTTTTATTTTCTTATATTTAAACTTTGACCCCTATAATGAAGAAGTAGGGGTTTCCTTCACTTCCTGTTTCCTCTTGAAGACTCAGGAGCTCTGTTTAACAAACAGGAAGTTAGCAGCTTCAGACCGCTTTGACCCCGTCAGTAAACGTCTCTCCGTCCTAACAGACCCAGGTGGAGCCGGTGGCGGCGGGCTCTAAGGTGGCGTTGGGTCGGCGGGAGCATCACACCCTCCAGCACCGACACCACCAGCGCTCCCGCTGCCGCCCCCCCAAAGGCATGTACCTGACCCAGGAGGACGTGGTGGCTGTTTCCTGCAGCGCCTCCGCCGCCAACACCCTCCTCCGTCAGCTGGACATGGAGCTGGTGTCACTCAAGAGACAGGTAGGAGGCTCCTCCTTCTCTTCTTCTTCCTCTTCCTCTTCTTCCTCTTCCTCCTCTTCTTCCTCTGCTTCCTCCTCTTCTTCCTCTTCCTCCTCTTCTTCCTCCTCTTCCTCTTCTTCCTCCTCTTCCTCTTCCTCCTCTTCTTCCTCTTCCTCTGCTTCCTACTCTTCTTCCTCCTCCTCCTCTTCCTCCTCTTCTTCCTCTTCTTCCTCTTCCTCCTCTTCTTCCTCCTCTTCCTCCTCTTCCTATTCCTCTTCCGTTTCCTCCTCTTCCTCTTCTTCCTCTTCCTCTGCTTCGTCCTCTTCCTCCTCTTCCTCTTCCTTCTCCTCCTCCTCTTCCTCTTCCTTTTCCACCTCTTCCTCTTCCTTTTCCTCCTCCTCTTCCTCTTCCTTTTCCACCTCTTCCTTTTCCACCTCTTCCTCTTCCTTTTCCTCCTCCTCTTCCTCTTCCTCCTCTTCCTTTTCCTCCTCCTCTTCCTCTTCCTCCTCTTCCTTTTCCTCCTCTTCCTTTTCCTCCTCTTCCTCTTCCTCGTCCTCCTCCTCTTCCTCCTCCATATATCTCTTGAGCTGCTCTGATATGAGTGGGAGGTTTAAAATGTCCCCGATATTCCCCTGAGGCGTCCACACTCTTCCTCTACCTGATCTCTGCTGCCACCTGGAGGTGAGTCCTGCTCAGATTAAATATGGGGCTGCATGCTAAATGGATTTGAGCTTATAAAGTTATTTTATAGTCTTCAGACTACTCAAAGCTCTTACACACTGCAGGTCACCTACACATTCACACACTGATGGTAGAGGCTGCTGAGTAAAGAGTCCATCAGTATTAACTCATCCATTCACACACATTCACACGCTGATGGTAGAGGCTGCTGAGTAAAGAGTCCGTCAGTATTAACTCATCCATTCATACACATTCACACACTGATGGTAGAGGCTGCTGAGTAAAGAGTCCGTCAGTATTAACTCATCCATTCACACACATTCACACACTGATGGTAGAGGCCGCTGAGTAAAGAGTCCGTCAGTATTAACTCATCCATTCACACACATTCACACACTGATGGTAGAGGCCGCTGAGTAAAGAGTCCATCAGTATTAACTCATCCATTCACACACATTCACACACTGATGGTAGAGGCTGCTGAGTAAAGAGTCCATCAGTATTAACTCATCCATTCATACACATTCACACGCTGATGGTAGAGGCTGCTGAGTAAAGAGTCCATCAGTATTAACTCATCCATTCACACACTGATGGTAGAGGCTGCTGTGTAAAGAGTCCATCAGTATTAACTCATCCATTCACACGCTGATGGTAGAGGCTGCTGAGTAAAGAGTCCATCAGTATTAACTCATCCATTCACACACTGATGGTAGAGGCTGCTGAGTAAAGAGTCCATCAGTATTAACTCATCCATTCACACACTGATGGTAGAGGCTGCTGTGTAAAGAGTCCATCAGTATTAACTCATCCATTCACACGCTGATGGTAGAGGCTGCTGAGTAAAGAGTCCGTCAGTATTAACTCATCCATTCACACACTGATGGTAGAGGCTGCTGAGTAAAGAGTCCATCAGTATTAACTCATCCATTCACACGCTGATGGTAGAGGCTGCTGAGTAAAGAGTCCGTCAGTATTAACTCATCCATTCACACGCTGATGGTAGAGGCTGCTGAGTAAAGAGTCCGTCAGTATTAACTCATCCATTCACACGCTGATGGTAGAGGCTGCTGAGTAAAGAGTCCCTCTGTATTAACTCATCCATTCACACGCTGATGGTAGAGGCTGCTGAGTAAAGAGTCCGTCAGTATTAACTCATCCATTCACACACATTCACACACTGATGGTAGAGGCTGCTGAGTAAAGAGTCCGTCAGTATTAACTCATCCATTCACACGCTGATGGTAGAGGCCGCTGAGTAAAGACATGCTCGTTAGGTTAACTGGAGACTCTAAATCGTCTGTAGTTGTGAATGTGAGTGTGGCTGGTTGTCTGTCTCTATATGTCAGCTCTGTGATTGGCTGGTGAACAGTCCAGGGTGTAACCCCGCTTCTCGCCCAATGACAGCCCCCCCAAGACCCCGAACAGGAACACCTGGTTTGATGGTTTGTGTCTCGTCCTTCAGGTTCAGAACGCCAAACAGATGAACAGTGGGCTGAAACACATGCTGGAGTCTGGGATTGATGAGTTCAGGCTGCCGGAGGTATGAAAAGAAATCATCCAATCACATGTGAGCAGGAAACGTCTCCATCTTTATGTTCTGACCTCTGAACTCTTTGTTTCTGCAGGGTAACCAGAAGGTGAACGCCCGCTGGACCACAGACGAGCAGCTGCTGGCCGTTCAAGGTGAGCGTCCAGTCTCAGTGACGACCCCGTCCGGTCTCAGTGACACCCCCATCCGGTCTCAGTGACTAAAGAGTCCCATCTCTCCGTTCCTCCATTGACTTCTTCTTCTGTGTATTTCTCTGGAAGTATAAAAGTCTTCCACATCATCTTAAACTGTCCGCCATGTTCTTCAGGTGTCAGGAAATACGGGAAAGACTTCCAGGCCATCGCTGACGTCATCGGGAACAAGACGGTGGGACAGGTGAAGAACTTCTTTGTGAACTACCGGCGAAGGTTCAACCTGGACGAGGTGCTGCAGGAGTGGGAGGCCGAGCAGGGGACAAGAGCTCCCAACGGAGACAGCGCCACCTCTGGTGAGGAGGGGAAGAACAGCTCCACCACCCCGTCAGGGAAGAGCACCGACGAAGAGGACGAAGAGGTGAGACATGTAGTCGAATGTTTGATCTTCCAGACTTTAGAGAGACACTTCCTGTAATTAAACATACAGATATGAATCAACAGTTAATGTGTCTGCAGAACAGTTTAACACAGAAATGATCAACATCATTCACTTTTTAAAGTCAACCTTTGTTCTCATAATCAAAGGTTCATTCTGGTATTTTAAAAACTGGGAAGTATTTTTCACATGTTTTGGGGTCTTCACTTATTAAAGGTAAAAAACGTTTTGGGCTTCCTCCAGTTGATTCTTCATCCTGCAGCAGGATCAACTGAAGACATTCAGGAACTCAGATAGATCCCCAAAATATGTTGGAATAAATCCCAGGTACAAATGACTTCAGCGTGCTGTAAGAGACATTTAAGATCCTCTCCTTTCCTCAGGGTCAGGTGACGTCCTCTGGTGCTTCTCCAGCTGCCTCCTCTTCTTCTGCACCTCAGATTCCGGTGACATCGAGTGCTTCTTCGTCCTCCTCCCTCCACCAGCCCCCTCCCCTCCTGCGGCCCTCCCTCCCTGCCACGCCCTCCTTGCACCGCCAGCCCCCGCCTCTTCAACAGCAAGCCCGCTTCCTGCAGCCCCGCCCCACCCTGCAGCAGCCCCCGCCTCTCATCCGCCCCTCTAACCCCCTTCCTCCTCGCCTCAACCCCCGCCCCCCTGTTCCCATGGCGCTCTGCAGCAACCCGGGGGGATCAGGGTCAAGCACCGCCCAGCAGCCACCAAGCCTGGCTATCCACCAATCAGAGACGGCTTCTTCTTCTTCGATCCACTAAAGAACGACTTGCAAAAAAAAGGATCTCTGCTGCGTTCAGGCACTGTGGGGAAATCTGAGTGACTTTATCCTTTAACACATTTTCACTACATCCAATCAGCTTGTCCGTTTTATCACACCTGAACTTACAGGTGACACTTTAACACAGAGCGACGTCCAAGAAGTTTGTCCTTCAGTTTTCAGACGCGGTGAACCTGCTGCGTGAGGTTTGATAAGAAGTTTTTCAAACTTTATTAAACCACACCTTCAATCATTGATCCTCAACAGACATGTGGCGTCCCACAGGGTTCAGTCCTGGATCCTTTTTAGTTCTCCATCAGTTTACCTTACTTTGACATGAGTAGACCTTTAAAAAATAACAATGATGTTGACACTTTTTTAAAAGCCCAGGAAATACTCGTAACTGGAGGCGGTTTTGGGATTTATTTTAAGTCATTGCTTGCACTTAGATTTTCGCAGCTTCAAGGATAAGAAAAGATAAAGAGCTGTTTGTAAATTCTTGTGCGGAGATTTGTAAATTGATCGTACAGTTTGGAATCTTTGGGCATGTGCAGACAGATTAGTATGAAGCAAGTCAACTGATGCAAAGCACTACAGCTTTTATAACCTAAACTAGTTTGCAAAGCCTGTCCCTAGATGGGCCTTTAAAATATATAAAACTGTGTGCATGGTTTACAGTCTAAACCGTACGCACAGATTTGGAAACTGTGCCGAATAGAAGCTGATTTGCAAGCAGCTTTTTATTTGTTCTTCCTTGAGGAGCTTGGCACCAATAAATACCAGAAGGTGAAATCTGCGTTGCTTCTGATGTGATCACAGCTCATTGTTCAATCTTCAATTGTTTAAAAAGTTTAAGGATGAGCATGATAATTTTTTATTTTTTAGCTTTCCAGGATCAGCTGACACATCTCATTTAGCCCTGATTTAGTTTTTTGTATTTAATGAATCTGGATTGGATAAACCAGCTCTAGGTCCTGACTTTTAAAGATTACCAAATCCAGATTACGAGACCTTTAGAGGGTACTTCACACTACATTATTTGTCCAGAGCCAAACTCCCCCCAAACTGAAAGATCCTCAGAGCTGCTTTCAATTATAAAATCTGTTTGATACATCAGATGACTTTTGAGCTCCTGGACCCGGGACTTAGTGTCCTCCTGTTGTCGCTAAAATGAACACTTTCACCTTTAGGGGGTGCTGATGGGACTCTGTTTTTATTTATATCCCTCCGATGTTTGCTGCATGTCTCTGAAAATCATCTCATTGGTTCCTACTGAATTTTAAACCCTCACGTTTCAAACCGCTGCTCGCTGAAGTTTCTCTCAAACAAACTGAGAACATAGGCTGCTTTTACTAAAAGAACAAACATGGCGGTGTATCCATGGTAACAGGAGGTGAAGAAGCTCCCTTGATGCCTGTGTGATAGATGGAGAGCAGACGTTTCAGTAGCAGTAGATGTCGACGTGTACGCTTTGGTATCTGTTTAAGTTGTAAGTCACCCGATGAGCGGTCGCTAACTCGTTAGCTGCACGTTGTGGTTGGACGTTGATTTAAAAACACTAAAACTTTCACGCAGACATCGTGGTGCAGTTTGTGTAAATTACTGAAGATGTTTTCACTGTTTGTGATCGTTCTGGAATCTGAAAACCTTCTTGTATCGTCGTCTTCAGACATCACTTTGTCTCTTCATTATTTATTCTTCTGTTTCTTCCAGGTGCTAACACTTTGGACTCAATGTCTTTGATTATTGTGAAAGTGCTCTTAATGCTTTAATGGACAAACATTTCATGTGGGTGGAGTCATCGACTCGCTCATTGAGTCGCTCATCAAGTCCTTTGAGTTTCAGTAGATTCAGTTTTAACTGCTGAGACATCTCGAATAAAAATCGACATTTTTACCATCATCACTGTTTCTGTTCCTCACTGTAACGTCTGCAGCGGGAAAACAGACTGTAACGTCTGCAGCGGGTAAACAGACTGTAACGTCTGCAGCGGGTAAACAGACTGTAACGTCTGCAGCGGGTAAACAGACTGTAACGTCTGCAGCGGGTAAACAGACTGTAACGTCTGCAGCGGGTAAACAGACTGTAACGTCTGCAGCGGGCAAACAGACTGTAACGTCTGCAGGTAAACAGACTGTAACGTCCGCAGCGGGTAAACAGACTGTAACGTCTGCAGCAGGTAAACAGACTGTAATGTCTGCAGCAGGTAAACAGACTGTAACGTCTGCAGGTAAACAGACTGTAACGTCTGCAGCGGGTAAACAGACTGTAACGTCTGCAGGTAAACAGACTGTAACGTCTGCAGCAGGTAAACAGACTGTAACGTCTGCAGCAGGTAAACAGACTGTAACGTCTGCAGGTAAACAGACTGTAACGTCTGCAGCAGGTAAACAGGCTGTAACGTCTGCAGGTAAACAGACTGTAACGTCTGCAGCAGGTAAACAGACTGTAACGTCTGCAGGTAAACATACTGTAACGTCTGCAGCAGGTAAACAGACTGTAACGTCTGCAGCAGGTAAACAGACTGTAATGTCTGCAGCAGGTAAACAGACTGTAACGTCTGCAGGTAAACAGACTGTAACGTCTGCAGCAGGTAAACAGACTGTGACGTCTGCAGCAGGTAAACAGGCTGTGACGTCTGCAGCAGGTAAACAGGCTGTAACGCCTGCAGCAGGTAAACAAACTAACGCCTGCAGCAGGTAAACAGACTGTAACGCCTGCAGGTAAACAGACTGTAACGTCTGCAGGTAAACATACTGTAACGTCTGCAGCAGGTAAACAGGCTGTAACGTCTGCAGCAGGTAAACAGACTGTAACGTCTGCAGGTAAACAGACTGTAACGTCTGCAGCAGGTAAACAGGCTGTGACGTCTGCAGCAGGTAAACAGGCTGTAACGCCTGCAGCAGGTAAACAAACTGTAACGCCTGCAGCAGGTAAACAGGCTGTAATGCCTGCAGCAGGTAAACAGACTGTAATGCTTGCAGCTGTTACATCTACAGCAGGTTAACAGGCTGTAACGTCTGCAGCGGGTAAACAGACTGTAACGCCTTCAGCTGTAACGCCTGCAGCAGGTAAACAGACTGTAACGCCTGCAGCAGGTAAACAGGCTGTAACGCCTGCAGCAGGTAAACAGACTGTAACGTCTGCAGCAGGTAAACAGGCTGTAACGCCTGCAGCAGGTAAACAAACTGTAACGCCTGCAGCAGGTAAACAGACTGTAACGTCTGCAGGTAAACAGACTGTAACGTCTGCAGCAGGTAAACAGGCTGTGACGTCTGCAGCAGGTAAACAGGCTGTAATGCCTGCAGCAGGTAAACAGACTGTAATGCTTGCAGCTGTTACATCTACAGCAGGTTAACAGGCTGTAACGTCTGCAGCGGGTAAACAGACTGTAACGCCTTCAGCTGTAACGCCTGCAGCAGGTAAACAGACTGTAACGCCTGCAGCAGGTAAACAGGCTGTAACGTCTGCAGCAGGTAAACAGACTGTTACATCTACAGCAGGTAAACAGACTTTTACATCTACAGCAGGTAAACAGACTGTAACGCCTGCAGCAGGTAAACAGGCTGTAACGTCTGCAGCAGGTAAACAGACTGTAACGTCTGCAGCAGGTAAACAGGCTGTAACGCCTGCAGCAGGTAAACAAACTGTAACGCCTGCAGCAGGTAAACAGACTGTAACGCCTGCAGCAGGTAAACAGGCTGTAACGTCTGCAGCGGGTAAACAGACTGTAACGCCTTCAGCTGTAACGCCTGCAGCAGGTAAACAGACTGTAACGCCTGCAGCAGGTAAACAGGCTGTAACGTCTGCAGCAGGTAAACAGACTGTTACATCTACAGCAGGTAAACAGACTGTAACGCCTGCAGCAGGTAAACAGACTGTAACGTCTGCAGCAGGTAAACAGGCTGTAACGCCTGCAGCAGGTAAACAAACTGTAACGCCTGCAGCAGGTAAACAGACTGTAATGCCTGCAGCAGGTTAACAGGCTGAAACGTCTGCAGCGGGTAAACAGACTGTAACGCCCTTAGCTGTAACGCCTGCAGCAGGTAAACAGACTGTAACGCCTGCAGCAGGTAAACAGGCTGTAACGTCTGCAGCAGGTAAACAGACTGTTACATCTACAGCAGGTAAACAGACTGTTACATCTACAGCAGGTAAACAGACTGTAACGCCTGCAGCAGGTAAACAGACTGTAACGTCTGCAGCGGGTAAATAGACTGTAACGCCTGCAGCAGGTAAACAGACTGTAACGTCTGCAGCGGGTAAACAGACTGTAACGCCTGCAGCTGTTACACCTACAGCAGGTAAACAGACTGTAACGTCTGCAGTGGGTAAACAGGCTGTAATGCCTGCAGCAGGTAAACAGGCTGTAACGTCTGCAGCAGGTAAACAGACTGTAACGTCTGCAGCAGGTAAACAGACTGTAACGTCTGCAGGTAAACAGACTGTAACGTCTGCAGCAGGTAAACAGGCTGTAACGTCTGCAGGTAAACAGACTGTAACGTCTGCAGCAGGTAAACAGACTGTAACGTCTGCAGGTAAACATACTGTAACGTCTGCAGCAGGTAAACAGACTGTAACGTCTGCAGCAGGTAAACAGACTGTAATGTCTGCAGCAGGTAAACAGACTGTAACGTCTGCAGGTAAACAGACTGTAACGTCTGCAGCAGGTAAACAGACTGTGACGTCTGCAGCAGGTAAACAGGCTGTGACGTCTGCAGCAGGTAAACAGGCTGTAACGCCTGCAGCAGGTAAACAAACTAACGCCTGCAGCAGGTAAACAGACTGTAACGCCTGCAGGTAAACAGACTGTAACGTCTGCAAGGTAAAACATACTGTAACGTCTGCAGCAGGTAAACAGGCTGTAACGTCTGCAGCAGGTAAACAGACTGTAACGTCTGCAGGTAAACAGACTGTAACGTCTGCAGCAGGTAAACAGGCTGTGACGTCTGCAGCAGGTAAACAGGCTGTAACGCCTGCAGCAGGTAAACAAACTGTAACGCCTGCAGCAGGTAAACAGGCTGTAATGCCTGCAGCAGGTAAACAGACTGTAATGCTTGCAGCTGTTACATCTACAGCAGGTTAACAGGCTGTAACGTCTGCAGCGGGTAAACAGACTGTAACGCCTTCAGCTGTAACGCCTGCAGCAGGTAAACAGACTGTAACGCCTGCAGCAGGTAACAGGCTGTAACGCCTGCAGCAGGTAACAGACTGTAACGTCTGCAGCAGGTAAACAGGCTGTAACGCCTGCAGCAGGTAAACAAACTGTAACGCCTGCAGCAGGTAAACAGACTGTAACGTCTGCAGGTAAACTGTAACGTCTGCAGCAGGTAAACAGGCTGTGACGTCTGCAGCAGGTAAACAGGCTGTAATGCCTGCAGCAGGTAAACAGACTGTAATGCTTGCAGCTGTTACATCTCAGCAGGTTAACAGGCTGTAACGTCTGCAGCGGGTAAACAGACTGTAACGCCTTCAGCTGTAACGCCTGCAGCAGGTAAACAGACTGTAACGCCTGCAGCAGGTAAAACAGGCTGTAACGTCTGCAGCAGGTAAACAGACTGTTACATCTACAGCAGGTAAACAGACTTTTACATCTACAGCAGGTAAACAGACTGTAACGCCTGCAGCAGGTAACAGGCTGTAACGTCTGCAGCAGGTAAACAGACTGTAACGTCTGCAGAGGTAAACAGGCTGTAACGCTGCAGCAGGTAAACAAACTGTAACGCCTGCAGCAGGTAAACAGACTGTAACGCCTGCAGCAGGTAAACAGGCTGTAACGTCTGCAGCGGGTAAACAGACTGTAACGCCTTCAGCTGTAACGCCTGCAGCAGGTAACAGACTGTAACGCCTGCAGCAGGTAAAACAGGCTGTAACGTCTGCAGCAGGTAAACAGACTGTTTACAGTCTACAGCAGGTAAACAGACTGTAACGCCTGCAGCAGGTAACAGACTGTAACGTCTGCAGCAGGTAAACAGGCTGTAACGCCTGCAGCAGGTAAACAAACTGTAAACGCCTGCAGCAGTAAACAGACTGTAATGCCTGCAGCAGGTTAACAGGCTGAAACGTCTGCAGCGGGTAACAGACTGTAACGCCCTTAGCTGTAACGCCTGCAGCAGGTAAACAGACTGTAACGCCTGCAGCAGGTAA